CCAGATGAGAGCGAAAGAGCAAAACCTCCTGCTGGCCCTGCAGGCAGGGCCTTGTGCCAGCGAGCCGGGACAGGGCTCCAGGAACAGCCAGCGCCTGGCTTGCAACAGGAGACAGGAAATCTGCTATTACTGCTCTCTCCTCCATCATCCAAGGGAGACGTGGCCAGCCCTGCCTTGCTAAGCTCAGCAATTCCCCAAGCACCAAGCGTCCAGCAGGGCACGGAGCACCCGAAAGGCGATGCTAAACCCGGGGGATTGTAGTACTTTGCTCGTTGCCACTGGAGCATAAGCGCTCCAGGAAAGTCAGAATTGCTCTTTACTTTTCAAGCTGTTAAATTGGCTCCGCCTCCCCCCCCCCCCCCGGCCCCGCAGCAAGATTTAGCAGAGGGCGATGTGTTCGCACAAAACCCAAACGTGCGCTGTCTCTGCTACTAAAATCCCAGTTAGATCTAACGCCCACGTGGCAGGAAGATGAGCGACAGCAATTGCAAATTCACTGCGGGAAGCCCCTCCAGAAAGCTGCTCTCTAAACACCCTTTTTCTCTCTAAAGCAAAGAGGGACTCGGCCCACAATAGCTGAATGCCTTTCATCCATCGCCTGCAAGATACCGAGGCAACACAGCGGTGCCCGCAGCTCTAAAGCACCAGGAGATCACACAGGTTGCACCCACATTTTAGAAAGCTGGTTGCCAGCAAAGAGGCTTTCAGGCTGCTGCAACAAGATCTGCAGAGAAGCGCAGCCCAGAAACGACGACAGCTCATTCGCACAAGTATTAGTGCAAAGGGACACACAAAGAGGCAGGCACGTGTATCGACAAATTCACAGGCCCCGCTCAACACGCAACTGCCCGCCACGTGGATGGACGCGCGGCGCAGCACTAACCTGCGCCAGTGGCGTGAGCACGCAGCCCTTCCCCGCTGGGACAGGCAACAGCGTGGTGTGTTCTCCCACCCAGCCCTTGGGAACATGCCCCAGGCATTATGCTGGACGCACGGACGAGGAGTAACCAAATTGCCAACAGGTTTTGTGCAGTCAGAGGCATCGTGCCCAGCAGTCCTCTTCAAAAAGGCTCTTTGCAAAGAGCTCTGATGCCTCCAAGTTTGCTGCAGGGCTGTGAAACGCAGCAGGATGATTCTCCTGGGGTCAGAAAGGGATTGTCTGCTCATTCTTCTCACCATTAGCCAAACCTGTCTGCATTAAAACCTGCCCAAAACTGCATTTCCTAGATGCATTTTGCTAGATATACTTACACCTGGCTTGCTGCTGGCGCCTGTCCTGTACCCTCCCTCTCCCACCCCATAAACGCCGAGCAACTCCAGACAAGATAGGGCACCAGCACAACAGCTTTGCAGCCAAGAGACTACACACGTGGCATTTGCTCTTTCTAACCGGTGGAAAGTCCCCCCAAAAAAGCCGGTAGTCACCTTGTCTCCCAAAAGCAGCAGTCTAAAATCCCAGCTAACCTACCTACAGAACGGAACTGTCAGATGATCTCCCTACCCCTGCCGCCAAGTTCCTTGGGAACACCAGCAAAAACACTTAAATTAACTTTTTCCCCCAGTACTCCCTAGATGCCTGGGTCTAGTTTCACAAGGAAGGAGGGATATGCAAACCCCAGTGAGCCTGCAGAGAGTGGCACCCACACAGGTGCTTCTGGTACCAGGTCTAGAAAGCAGAGCCAAGGTGGGGAATCCCAACAGATCTCTGCTGCGAGCCTGTTAAGTGTCCTAAAAACAGGTATTTTGCTTCCAGGGGGCTGCAGAGACACTCAGCAACAATTAGATGGACTCTATGCAAGTGAGACACAGCTTACTGGGATTAGCTCAGAACCAGAGAGCTAAGGTCTCCAATTAGGTAGGTATCTGAGTGTCCGAGTTCCCTGGGTTTGGTGGGGTTTTGCTACATTGACTTTACTGCTCCAATGCCTCCAGGATATCTTTTTGGAATAACCAAGCCTCCCTACTGCAGAGTTTTGGGGAAGTTAACCCATGCATATTTGAGATGGTCAGATATCAAAGCAAAGAGGAGAGCCATGCAAAAACCTGAGAAGGCACCTAATAACTCGGGAGCGAGCACGTTCAGGACGTGAAATAAAGCAAGAACCGTGCCCTGAACGCTGAGGACGAAAGGAGACATCGCCTAGCTCCCTCGCTCCCCGCTCGCCTGCCAGCCTGCGCAGGCAACAAGGCAGGGCTCTTAGAGGACAAACAGCAGGGATCATGCAATTACCAATTGTATCCTAACGCATTTGCACGGGGGCCGAATTAAGGTTGCCCGGGCAACTGCGAATCTGACATTTCCTAATCCGAGCGCTGGACTCGGCAAGCCGCGCGGGGCTCTTTGCTGCAGCCACTTTGCCCGCAGTCACTCAGGCGGGCACAAAGCACAGGAGGGGGCCGCAGAGCAGGAGCCATCACCGCAGTGACCCCAGCGCTGCAGGCACGACAGCTCCCAGGGGCGTCGTGCTCTGTTCCGGAACGGTCAAAGGCCAGGGACTTTGACGCTTTGCTCACCTACCACATCGCAAAAGGAGCCCCTCGCTGCCCAGTCGGTCCCCGCGTCCCAAGCTGCTCACATGCCCTGGCTACCAAGGCATCACCAGCTACGGGGGACAGGACAGCATTTTCCATCCTCTCCAAGAGCAGAGCATTTTTCATGCATTTATCTACCACACGAACACACACTCAGGTCCCTAATGCAGTACTAAGGCTTGTCTTACTCTATTATTTATATTCCCTGTGGGGGAAGAAAAAGTACAAGCAAAATTAAGGTGAGAAAGAGAAGCATTAACTACGCATTGCACAAAACACAAACCCCTTGTCAAAGTTGGATGTTCCAAAGTCAAGGTATACAACAGCACGCACATGCACACACTGGTTGTGCGCGCAGGCATACAACTTGAAATACAGCCACAGCCAGAGCATCTACTGAGCGTGCTGAAAATCTGGAGCTGCAGAAAGCTGGCACTGCTGACAGGCCAGAGGATCCCCTGCAGTAAAATGGTTTTTACACTGTACTCTGGGGAACAAGACAGATGGCAGCTATCCAAGAAAGAGTTCATGGTTCGGACAGAGAAATCTCAAGTCAGAGCTAAGGCTGTTTGCACTCTCTTACCTACAAACGTCCAAGCTGCTATCAGTTTTTGCTGTAACTAGACACTCGGCTTTATAAAAAGGTCTGTTTCTATCCAAAAGACATCTGGGGAGATTCCTCACTTCATAAACAACCAATGTTTCTTGCCTTGGAGATGAAGTACCTTTAGTATCTCCCCAGATCGCGGGTGCAGTGCTCTGTTTCATATTGGAGCCCCTCTGAGTTATAACTGAACTCAGTTTGCTCTCTCCTTGGGTGTAAAAATTTCCCAAGCTTCACCTTAGCCAAAAAGCAAATTTCCCTGGCAGAATCACACAGCCGCCTCTGAGCTTTCTAAGAAAAGAGACGCCCCTAGGTTGGGCTGACACAAAGTGCCACCACAGAGCGAAGCCCCCACCGAGGACACACACCTGTAGACAGGCGCAAGGCTGTCATCTTGCAGCTCATTGCTTTTGGCAGAGGTCAAAGAAAACCTAAAAGCAAAGCAGGTGCTGGTCTTCCAAGCCGGGGGCTGATTCCCCGTCTGGACGGTTCCTGAGGGTAAGGCCAGGCCAGAATGTGCAGTCGGCAGCTAGAGCCAGGCAGCACACAGCGGTACCGCTGCACCCCGGGGCACAGGGCACTGGAAGAGGGTAGCCCGGTGCGGACAGCACGACATCTCACAGGATGACTCAGTTCGGGGAGGCTCCTGCAGGAAAGACACACGCCCAAGAGCTTCCTGGCCGGCTGTTCCCACACCCTGCAGCACTGACCCTGTGCGCGCCAAGCAAAAACTTCACACCAGAGCACCCCAGACCTTAGGTCTGGCCATAATCACATTGCCACCGAGTGCCAACAGTGGCAGACAACACTGCGGACAACAGGTAGCACTTGGGAGACAACACACAGAGCCGCACAGCCCTGTGCCCCTATCCCTTGTCCCCATCGCCTCTGGCATGTAACAGCTCATGTAACACCATGTAACCCATGGTGGCCGAGGAAGAGACAGGTGTCACCAAACAGGACAAGCTCCAAGTGCTCTGCCAAGGGTCCGGGCGCCCACTTGTGTGGCAGGGTTCACCCAGTGGCACAGGCCAGCAGGCTGCAATAGCCACTCACTGTATCCTTACCGCAGGCAAAGCCAGATAGAGAGGCAACAGCCCCAAGAAACAACCGCGTCCCTGAGCACACCATGCCCTAGGCCCAGGCAGCCACATGTCCCCACGCTCTCTTGCACAGCGAGGTCCCTCTCCAAAAACAGGCAGATTCTCTCTCCACTGCATCGAGGGGTGTCCTGGTGACATTGCTCCACAATCCTCATCCCCAAAATTGCCCAGAAGACAACATCTCAAAGGTACCTGCCTCGCTCAGGTGAGTCGTACAGGGCCAGTCCATCATCCCCTGCTGCAGGCAAAGGACTGCCGGAGCAAGCAGAGGGAGAAGGAGCTGTGTTGTCCACACCATGCCCAGAAAGCGTTCAGCTTTACAACAGAGCGGGAGCTACTGTAGATCTTGCCCTAAAGCGCAGGGGCAGGCGCTGCCCATCCCCACAAGACGCTGCGAATCCCACATAACGCAGAAAGATGCGGCGATTCACCCAACAACGGCAAGTTGCCTCCTTCACCTGCCCTCATGCAGGTACAGCTCTGGCTGCTGCTGTACTCACTAGAAAACACACACTCAAACACAGGCAGCAGGGCTCCTGGCCTAACCTGTGCTGGCCAGTGATCCCACGTGTGTCCTAACCTCCAGCACCAGGCTCAGCCTGTTCCCCGCATCACAGCCATCTTCAGCATGGGGAATTCCTGGCCTTCCTGGGATAAAGGATCCTGCAGTTCCTGCTAGCCACCTTCTCTCTCATTTCCATCTCACCGCAAGGGCAACTGGCTCGACCATCTCTTCTCCCCAGTGCCTGTGCACAAATGAAATGAGCGTCAGCCACACACTTGTGGCACACACATTTGGCTCAAGCAGGAAGGATGGCATCGCCAAGATGTTCTTGCCCTGTCCTGAATTCTCCGGGAAGGGCAACATGGCCAGAGCTGGCACGGGGTTCCCAGAACATGTGCTCCTCATCCTTGGGGTGCAGTGCCTGTAACACAAACCACACTGCCCTGGCCAAATCTCGCAACCAGGATCCCCGCAACTGGAATTGTGGCTGCTCTTTTCACCCCTGCACGTCCTTGTCCTCCCTGCTTAGAAGGGCTGCAAGGTTTATTAGCATGCTCTTCACTGCCAGGTCTTTAAAGAAGATGTTAAACAAGCCCCAGCAGCACTGACCCATGCAGTCTGCCTCAGAGGCTATTGTTACTCCTGCCCCAAGCCCATACCTAGCAAGTAAGCTATCCTGCTTCAATTCCTGCTTCACAGCCCTAGGCAATGCCACACTAGTGTCTCTCAGTCACAAGCAAAAAAATCTCTCTGCTCCAACACAGCTTTGCCTGTACCTAGAATTAAATTTCTCCCTTCGTCTTCAGCATCACTACAACTCAAGGTCCATAGCCATGAGCTTGATGCACTCCCAGTCATTGCAGCAAGTTAAAGCAGAGCTGGGAACAGCGCCCAGCACCTCTTCATGAGAGCAGGAGCACTGAAGCCCCTGGTGCAACCCACTGTGACCCCCCCCCAAGTCAATTTGAAGAATTTAGCAGAGGCTTCATCCATGCCCCAGTTTGCTTCCCCTGCTCCAGCACACCTTGACGGTGCCACCAAGAGGGCACATCATGAGTGCAAGCAACAATCTAGCAGGCTGCTCTGCATCTTCCTGGGAGCTGAGGAGTCCAGACTGAGCTCTAGCCAATGCCTGGCCTCTGATGAGGAAGGGGCAGCCCCAACAAATCACTTCCTGAGCACCCAGGGATGCTCAGGGCTGCATCCTCACCAGAGGAGCCTGTGGCCTCTGATGGTCTTCCCAGGTCCTGCCCTGCTGGGCCACGTCCAGCCAAGCACCGGTCTCAAGGCCACCAGAAAGGATCACCAGCCCTCACAGCAACTGAGGAACCCTCCCCACTGCTGAGCCCAACTAAAGGACAGCAGACATGAGGCAGAGAGGATGTCCAAGCCAGATGGAAATGCTCCATGTGATGGATACTCCCAGACACCTCCAGAGAAATAGTTTTAATAAGTAGCTGCATGCACTATCACATATTCCCTCCCTATCTCCAGCTTTGCCAACCAGCCTCTGGAGCTCTGCCTTCGTCTGTCAGATACCGGAGTCCTCAAGAATCAGAAACCTCCTCCCCATAGAGGCACGCAGAAGATCAGGAGATAATCTAATCACTGTCTGTCTTGGTTAAGAGGAAGGGCCTTCTTCGGCCTCTTGCTATTAGCTGTGTTTCTGCAGATGCCTCACAGCTTTTGGCTCTTCCCTAAACTTTCTGATGTCTCCCCAATCCTGTGACAGGCGGAAAGCAAGAGCCAGGCCTGGCTGCAGCCAGGAGTACCTGTCAGCTTTCCCCACTTCCCACAGCTCCTGTTCAGCCCTTCGCATACCACGGCCCAAGTCCCTCCTACAGTTACAATCCTTGTTCCTCCAATCTGACAGTGCATATTCCCACGTCGTCAGAGGAAAATCATTTAAACGCCCTGGGCCTGCCATAGCGAACCGAATCCCTGCAAGAGCACCTTTACTCCCTCCTCCTGCCAGCTGACTTCCCTTAGCAGCGCATTCATATTTACAGTTTTGAGGATCTCGGATGAAGATGAGGTCTCCGCCGTGCCCTTCTGGAAACCTCACGACTCAATAGCTATTATTCATTAATAGCAACTTTCAAAGATACATCAGCTTCAAGTTTTTAATCTGTTTAAAATACTCCCAAGTGGATTTTGCCCAGCGCTTGTTTAATCAGGATGTCAGGCAATGCCAAGACCAAGTATATTATTATTATATCAACAGTTCCCTCCATCAACCAGCTCTGTGATCTTGTCAAGTTCACTTGACAAGCCCCGTCTTGCACACTGCAGTGCTGACGGGCACTAATCACCCCTCCTGCCTTTATTTGCACAGTCCTCATATCAGCTTCTCCGTGATGAGGCCCAGAACTGACGGCTGCAGCCCCAGCGCATTTATCCTCTGGCTTCTTTCGCAGTTCCCCGCATCAGCCAGAGCCCGTTCCTCCGCTTAGAGCCTCTCCCCTGCTCCTGCCCCTCACCTCGCTGGGGACGTTTCTCTCCTCCTGCTCTTTGGGAGCTTTTCGGCCCGTCCACAGCAGCGGCTTTGCTCACGATGCCAACCGGCAGAGCAGGAGGAAGTAGGCAGGCACCGACAACACCACGTTCAACTCTTACCCCCTGAGAAGGCAGCTCGAAGGCGGCAGACAAAGAGGCACAGGCACTTCCTGACAAAGCAGCGTGACAGCTTTGAGAGGCCTATCCGCCAGCGCCTGCCTGCGCTGCAACTGGCACGGGCTAGCCAGGCCCCGGAGAACGAGCGGAGAGGGAGATCTTTCCTGCTACCACGCGCAGGCGGGAAGGACGCCTAGGGGAAACCAGCCTGAAAGCGGGTTCAGCCACCCGCGGGAAGCAACCACAGATGGGTCCCGCACCGCACGGTGGAGCCTTCCTGGGCTGCAAGCACACAACGCAGGCTGCTGGTCTTCGCCTCTGTGCAGCGCTAAGCACTTGCCTGGAAAGAAATCGCCACGGAGCAAGAGGGGAAGGGGGGGGTTGGACAGGAGACAGCGCACAGAGACCGGCAGGCCCTAGGCTCTCACATCTCAGCAGGCACGTTTCCTGCTGGGGATTATACCTGTCTCCCGCGAGGAGTTGGAGGAGACAGACAAGAGCCGCCTCCACAGCGCCCGCAAAGCTGCTGTTGACATCTGACTGGCGCGTTATTGCTGCCAGGACGAGGGACGGAAAGGAAGAGATCTCTCAGAGCCCAGCTACTCCGCAGAGGCATTTTGGGAGCTATTTCGTCACCAGCACAGCTCCCAAAAGCACACCCCTTGCCCCGGCAAGCCCTCGGCCGCAAAGGCCCCGCTCAGCGCCAAGGTTTAACCTCCCTCCCCCAGGCCGCGGGGGGACCTCAGCCCTGCTGCTCGCGGCGAGCACGGGAGCAAGCAGGCGCAGGCTGTGGGACCAGGAAAACCCCAACGTGTGGGGCTGGAGCACACCCCTCGGGCTGCGAGCCTGGGGGATCCCCAGTTTGGGGGCTGGAGCACCCCAAGCTGTGGAACTGGATGCCCCCCCGGTGGTGGGGCAGGAGCCCCCCA